CGACGGCCCGTGAAGCTGGCGGACGTGGGGCAGCTCGTGCTTGCCGGCGGATCTGGCCCTCTTGTGATGAGGGGATTTTTGTTCGACGTGATGGTAGGGCCAGGGTTTCCCGCGACGGGGTGCAGGGGCAGCAGCATGCCCAGTGGGTGCAAGCGTGGCGTACCATGGCCGAGCATAGCCAGTTTGTTGATGCGCGCGCGACTGTCCCGCCGCGTAGTTCACCCGCTCTCTTGAGGAAGGTGTCGCCCCGCTTCAGAACTCGTGCAATTGTAGTAGATGGGATTGACCCCGATCATTTCTCATTGTTGTGTGATCAGGGCTTGACGGCGCTCGCTGGGGTGTTTTTTCTGTCATGGGCATGGTCTCCAATGCGCCCAGCTATCTCCGGCGCGTGATTATGCAGATGTTCGGGGAAACTGATGCGGGGCGCAGGCCATTCGTTTTTTCCTCACCAGCGCGGTGCGGCTCCACGGGGAATAGGAAACTGTGTCCAGGCAGCTTAAGCATGTGGACCCAGGTGTTGATGGGTGCCCAGTCCGCAGCGTGGCGCCGGGGCGTGGGCCTTGGGGCGCGGCGCGGTGCCATGCGGCTCGCGGCGAGGCTTTGGCGAGGGGGGGGGGTCGGGGGCGGGCCCTGTCTGTAGTGTGGGGCTCGGTCGTTTTGCGAGCGCATGGCGCGCCGTCGTCTTTGTGCAGTGTCGCGCGAAGCGAAGTGCAGTGCCCGATCTCAGCGTTTCAGTGCAGCCTCAAGTCATGCATATGGCCTCGCAGGTTTGCACTTGGTGGCTTGATATCAGGCCCGATTTGCTCGCGTCGGCAGATCATTGCAGTCACTAGAACACCTACATTCGATGCCAACATGTACTTGGCTCCAGCAGCTAATGGATAGGTGAGTCAGACGATGCGTTAACATAATCCACGTGTTGGGCTTGCCACGCCTCGCGGTTCATGCTGGTGACCTAGCACTCAATGCTGCATCGAGAAGGTTGTCATGATTGCGTGAAGGCCACGCGTGACAAAGCGGTGAGTTTGGCGCAGTTTGTACATGACCTGTGGGGGGCGCTGTTCGCCGATCAGAGACTCTGCTTCACTGGGACTTCGATAGCATCAGTAGATGCCTGCAAGGCCGCGCTTGGCACCTTGGCAGGAAAACCAGAGGTTGTAGTCAAGAGCCTTGGAGTGGACGATGGACGATGCACTTGGACGGCATCGACAACAGTCTGGTCGTGGGCGAGTCCGACGACGTCGTAATGCCACAAGTAGACGCGCTAGGAGAAACTGGGCGCCATGAAAAGGTTCTGGCCGGCAGAGGGGGAGGATTTTTTTGGTGGGGATTCAAGCTCCAGCATCGCATGGAGGTGAGGTGCTTGGACATGCACGGGCCGAAATCAGACATCTTCTGCGAGCAGGCGCGAAAGCTTCCGGCTTCCTCGTTGGATCACTCGGCCGACGCGCTGGGGAAATATGCTGCGCAGTGGTAGCAAGCAGCAGGTCCAGATTCGTTTCGAGGAAATGGTCGCGTTGCTCGCGACCTGCTACAACTTCCCGCGGGTGCGTCGCGGCTTCGCGAGGGGGCCCCTGTCGGACATGCACCCCTGGATGCGGGGGGCTGGATGGGATGAGCTGGGCGCTCGTGTTTGCGCGGGCTTTGCATGGGTCGCGTCGTGATGTGGCCGCGGCGCCCCGTGCCCGGATGGCACGAGCTTTTAATCCGCGATGCAAGGAGCAGATTTTTGAGGCCGGCTGTGGAGCGGGCTTCTTCCGAGTCCCGGGGTCCGAGGTCCCAGATCCGTGGGAGGGGGCTGCGGGCTTTGGGGCCCGAGCGTTTTGCGTGCCCGCAAGACCATGGATTCTGAGCGCCTGCTGGAGCGAACTTTTGCGGGTCGGTGCCCCGCTGGGCTCACGCTTCAGAGGTCGGGGTATACATTATACCCCCACCTCTGAAGCTTATTATTAATGCTAGTGGGTTGTACCCGCTAACGTTATTCATGCTAGTGGGTTGTGCCCCCATTGCCAGAAGCTCGACTCGATCCTCCGCCGCGCCCGGGGTCGCCCGTGGCTGGAGGCTGAGCGCGAGGCACGGGTTGAGGAGCTTCGAGTTATGGCGCTCCGCCGTGGGCCTGGAGACCTCTTCTGCTCCTCCCTTCGGCTGTCCTCTCCTCCTGTCGCTACCAGGCCCATGGAGGAATCCATCATGAACTTTCTGATGCCCAGGTTTTCAGGACTGGTCGCTACTGCGGTGATGGGAACTTCTGCGGTGGCGTATATCCAGAAGTGTCTCGAGCAGGCTGGGCGATTGTTGCGATTTGCTCCGAAGGGCTGTTGCTCCGTGGCCTTTCGGGGCTTGTGCCTGTTGGGGTGCCTCAAACTGCGTCCGCGGCCGTCGCCGCGCTGCCTATATGTTTGAACGGTTTCTAGAGCATGCGGCTGCGCCGGAGGTGGGGCCTGTGCCCCTGATGGTAGCATCCCTGGTGACCGCCCTTCGCGCAGATTGCATTGCCGTTTTTTTGTTGTTGGTTGTCTCTTTTTTGGGGGGGACAATTTTGCGAGAGCCAATGCTCACTCGTCGCCGCGTGCTGGATATCGGCGAATGGCTGGTCGGCCCGCGCATGCTGTTGTGAAGGTGAAGCCCACCGCGATGAATCGCTCGCGGCAGACAGCCAGGATTTGCGCCACATTAAAGGCAATTGCTGGGCTGATCACGCAGCGAAGATACCTGCACAGACCAGCGAGATTTGCGTGGCATGTTTAAGGTTCTTCGCGGGTGCTCGTCAATTACATAAGCAAGCCACCCTGAACCTGCTCCAAATACTTATGCGCTGGCCCCCTTCCCGAAGACCTTTATGGCTCCTTGGATCAGCCCTTGATGGCCCGCACCTTTCCCGCCCCCCCGGGGGCCTCCTTGCCCTGTCTGGGGCGGCGCAGCGTGGAGGTGCGCCCAGTGCCACAGGATCGGGGCGAGACTGTTAGCTACTTCGAAATGTTTCGATTTCCCCCATCCTTGCAGGAGCTTGTTAATCAGGTCGTCCAACCGAGCTTCCCACGCTCGTTATGGCGTGCCCGAGCGGGAGGACGGGTATCCCGATTCGGTTATGTGGGAAATGCGGCTTTATGGGGAGTGCTCAGGCCCTCCACTTGCGCGGTGCATGTTGCCCCTCGGCCATTTTCCTAAAGGACTTGAGGAGCTTGTGGCATGGGTGCCTGCCGAGGGGATCGGGGGTTAAGATCTGGGAGCCCTGGCCACTCCATGCCGCCGCGCGTCCGTCCTCCTCTCCTGCCCCTCTTTTCTAGATTTCTCCCTTGTTTCGCGGGCGGTTCCACGACGACCGGCTGAAGGCGGGCGCCTTGCTTCCTGGTAGGGTCGCCGATCGACCAGGACTCATGTGGTTCACTGGTTCACAGGTGGGAGGAGGGAGGTAGATGGTAGGAGGCGGGAGGCGGGGGGGGGAGAGGGAGAAGCAACAGCAACCTGGCCAAAGCGAGGCCTCTGCCTCCCAGGGGCTTACGAACACGCTGGCAGCTATCTGCGCACTTGGCAGCGCCCAGGCAGGGGATTCATGCTTTCGTAAGGCCGCACTTCGAAGGACTTCCCGTGGGCTGACGAACGCGCCCGCAGTTGCGCAGATGGCAGCGCCCAGGGAGGGGAATGACGGCTTGGATCCGCGTGGGAACACGCCCCGCTGGACCTCGCATGAGCTTCAGGAAGACCCGCCAGTTGTGCAGCTGGCAGCGCCTAGGGGAACGAATCATCAGAGAGGAAGCGAACGGGAAGTGAGGAGGCGGCGAGGAAAAGGGAAGGCGAGATGCGGCAGCGGGGAGAAACGGAAGAGGAGGGAGGAGGGATGGGGTGGGAGGAGGCAAGGTGAAGAGAATGAGGCGGATGAGAATGAGGCGGAGGAGGAGGGGGAGGAGGAATGAAGGCGGACGAAAGGGGAGGAGAATGAGGCGGAGGAGGGATGAGGAAAGTGGAGGAGCATGAGGCGGAGGATGAGAGGGAGGAGGAGGAGGAGGATGATGAGGAGGAGGAGGAAAGGGAACAATAGGTATTCTGTTCGAGCCGAGGATTCAGCCAGATGAGAGTTGGGAGCTATGTTCGCGCCCTGGGATTGGGATCCGCGCGAGCGTCGTCCATGCAAATGTTTGATGTTCGAACGCTTGTAAGCAAGGCTCTTCAGGAGCCTTTACCATCAACCTGCGAACTTACAAACACACTGCCAGCTCATACAGTTGCGAAGTGGTTGCGCGTAGTGCGATCCACTTTTTACACGACGCAGCCTCAGCTTTGCAACCTGGTGCTTCCACGCGGGGTCCCCGGCTGCCGAAAAGGCACGAAAACAGGTTTGGTGATTCGGCCGGTAGTCCTGATGCGTTCTTGTCGTAGTGTCACTAATTGTGTCCAGCACGCACGAGTTTGTTGTTTGTTGGGGTCTGCTGCGTAAACATGCGAATTGTTTGGCATGGGTGCTAGGAGAACGCGGAGAAGTGCGAGCGGGATTGTCGTCTATTCAAGATGCGCAGGATGGTAGCCTGACAATCGCATCCCCCATTCACGGGAGGAGCCGGACGAGCAGCAATATGAAACACGTAGCCATACGACCGTTTTCCTCCCGATGTAGGTTTATGTCTACCACCACTACCACAAATTCTATCCACGAGCCTTCGGCAACCCCCGCCACCGTACCAGCGCAGAATCGCAGGGCCTGTCTCAACAGTCGCGGGTCTTACCCAACCCTTCGGTCTCAGCATCGTCACCCTCGTCTTCCTTCTTACTCCTTTCTGCTCCACCCCCTGCTCTTCCTCCCTCCGACCTCATCCTCTTAATAAAGCGTCATCGTTGTTTTATGCTTCTCTGGGGCCTCTTGGGGCGGCCTTGGCACGTCCTAGACGAGCGCGATCCCGGGGGTACCCTTACGACTAACGAGTGGGCGGGATGCCTTCAGAAAAACTACAGGACCCCCACAAAACAATCAACAGCCTGCCGAAGGCACGGTGGCGGACAAGGGAAGCGGAGAAAGACGAGATGGAGAGTCTTTTCCAGGCCAGTGCCCTTGTTCGCTCTGCTTGTATTCGACTGCGCGCGAGGTTGTAGAACATCATCTTGCACTTTCGAAATGCAGTTGCATGGTCGCACTGCTGGACATGCGCGTGCTCCCTCGGAGGCATCGCAGTCCGCGCACCGTCGGACTGACTCAGCATTTCTCCGGTTGTCTCTGCAGGTAGGGCATGTTTGGTGTCTTCCCCCAGTGTCCTCAGACACACCCCCTCCCTCCCTTGTCCCGCCCCGTTCCCTCGCCCCTCCCTGCCAGAACTCTGTCGTCGTGATTTTGCTCGCAACGTGGATCCGTGGAGGTCTGGATCCCATCCCCGGGACTGTTGGTTCTCCATCCCGAGTCGTTTTTTTGCCGGTCCTGGGGACTGGTGAGGGTCCCCTGGGGCCGAAACCCGTCCAGAACCGTCCGTCGTGAGTCTTTCGCGAAGAGAGAGTGTGGTGGGCCCGTCCAACTTTCAGGAGGGGAAGAAACACACAGACACAATTACTCGTCGATTCCCTTAGACAATATAGGAAAATATGGGCAGTGGGGGGGAAGACAGAAACCCAGAAAATATCGGAAAAATATGGGGAGTCCTTTGATTTGTGTGTATTTCTTTGTGTGTCCTGGGGCCCCCTGAAACTTCTCTTCTCGGTACCCTTTTCGGCTCGAGACGTCGCCGTCCGTGGCGGCCCTGCTCCCAGTGTGAGCCCACTGGGTGGGGGAGGGCCCGCCGCCCGGGGTCCGCCTCCTCCACGCAGGCTGGCCGCCAGGTGCTCCAGGACGCGGACCTGGAGGTAGGGCGGGCGGGGCGTTGAAGTGTGGTGCACGATCGAGCTGCCGCGTGGGTGGACGGGTCGGGCTGGGTGGGCGGGCCGGTCGGTCGGGTCGGGCGGGTGGGTGGACCCTGGCGGGCGGGGCGGGTCGGGCTGGGTGGACCCTGGCGGGTCGGGTCGGGTCGGGCGGGTGGACCCTGGCGGGCGGGGCGGGTCGGGCTGGGTGGGCGGGCCAGCGCGGCCGGGTCGGGTCGGGGCACGACCGAGTTGGGGCGCCTGTGCCCCAGCGGGCGCTTCGGGCCCGGCGGGCGGGGCGTCGGGGCGTGGCGGGTGCTCGGGTGGGCGCGCGGGAATTCTGAAGGGGGCGGGGCGGGTCGCGCGGGCGGGCCCTGACGTGAACCTCAGCAGGCGGGCCAGGCAGGGCGGGCGGGGCCTGGCGGGCGGGGCGTGTCGGGCCGGTTGGGCGGGCGGACGTTGACGGTCTGGTCTGGTCGGGCGGGCGGGGCACCAGAAACGTGGGGCGCGAGCGAGATACCGCGTGCGAGCCCTGGCGGGTCGGGTCGGGTCGGGCGGGCAGACCCTGGCAGGCGGGTCGGGTCGGGTTGGGCGGGCGGGCCGGGCCCTGGCGGGCGGGTCGTGTCGGGCGGGCAGGACGTTCAGGTGCGGTGCGCGCCCGAGATCAAGCGCGCGCAAACCTTCACTGATGGGGCGGGTCGGGCGGACGGATCCTGACGCGCGGGGCGGGTCGGGTCGAGCGGGCCTTGGTAGGCGTGTCGGGTCGGGCAGGCGGAACGTTGGAGCGTGGGGCGCTATCGGGGTGGCACGCCTGTGCCCTAGCGGGCGGGTCGGGCGGGCGGGCGGGACATTAAAGTGTCGCGCATGCTCGAATGGGCACATGGAAACCCTAACAGGCGGGTCGGATTGGGGGTCGGCAGGTGGAGCCTGACTGTCGGGTCGGGTCGGGCGGGCGGGGCGTTGAGATGCATTGCGCGACCAAAGTGCCGCGCTGGGTCGGGTCGGGTCGAGCGGGCGAGACGTTGGCGTGTGGTGCGTACTCGAATGAGCACGCGCGAGCCTCAGCGGGCGGGTCGGGCGTGGCGGGCGGACCTTGACCGGCGGGTCGGGCCGGGGCGGGCGTGGCGGGCCCCAAGGGGCATGTGGGGCCCGGGGGGCGGGACGTCCACGTGCGGACCACCGTCAGGTTGGGCGCGCGGGCCGGGTCGGGCCAGGGGGGTGCTCAAGGGCGGGTCGGGTTCGGGGAGGATGGTCGGGCGGGCCTCTGCCAGAGCGGGTCTGTGGGAGCGGGCCTGAGCGCGGCCGCCCCGTCTGGGCACGGCGGCCCCGCCCTCCGCGCGGGCAGCCGGCCCCCCTCCCCCCGGCGCGGGCAGCCGCGGCTGCTCCTTGGCTCGGCCGTGCTCTCTTGGAGAAGGTGGGCCCTCTTATTCGAGTGTGGGTCGGCCACGCGCAGAGGACGCCTGGCCCAGATCCCCTCGCGTTGTGACAAAAAAACGCGACGGGAGGTTTTCCGTTATTTTAGGCCTCTGGGGGTCCTTGCGTGGCGTCGGGGCCGTCCAAAAACGACCCCGGGTAAAAAACCAGTCCTGGGGACACGGTCCAGGCTTCTAGGGGGTCGACGCATTTTTTCGGCCACGCGCAGAGGGGTTAGGGGGAGGGGAGAAGGCGCGGGCCTTGTTCGCAGCTGCATGGCCGGCGCCTGAGAAGCAGCCTTCTTCCAAGAAGCCTTCCCCCCTCCCCTTGCCCGCGTGTGCGTGCCGCCAAGTGGAGGGTGAGCTTCCGCTTGTCCCCCCCGCTGCCCTTCCGGCTCCCGCCCCCCCCCCCTTCCCCACTCGAAGAGAGAAGGGCGTGAGCATGCACTCTTGGACGTCCGCGCGCGACTTTCTCGGGTCGGCACCGGGCCCCTGCGGCGCCGTGCCCGCGGCGCCGCCCCTTTTTCCGCGCTCCGTGCGCTGGGGGGGGCGATCAGCGCGGATCCGAGAGATCCGCGCGGATCTCCGAATGCTCATCTTTATCTTGATGGCTCTTCTTGCCCCCTTCCCGACTGGCCTCGCCGTTCGCCTCCCCGTGCGTCTTCTCTTCCCCCGCTGGGCCCTCCCAGTCGCTGCTGACACGAACAGCTTTCCGTCCTTCGCTGTCGTCGTCGTCGTCGTCGTCGTCGTCGTCGGCGTGCTGGCGGGGCTCAACGACGTCAGCCCCAGGCTTTAGGATGTGCCGCAGAGGGGCAGGCAGAGGATCGGGAGGAGAGTCAGGGGGAGGTGCAGGGGGCAGGGGGAGGAGGAGGAGGAGGAGGAGGAGGAGGAGGAGGAGGAGGAGGAGGAGGAGGAGGAGGAGGAGGAAGAGGAGGAGGAGGAGGAGGAGGACCATCACATGCTGAAGAGGAAGACTAAGGTTAGGCCGACCCGACCCTAACCGAAACCTTGGGATTCCATCCGTTCTCGCCTTACGCCCTTCTTCGACCCTACATCGCCGCCCCTTCCTTGAGGAGCTGGGCTGCAGGGAAGGGCTGGGGAAGTCGGGGGCGGGCCTTCATACTGTCCTTCGGATGGCGGCCGCCTGACACCCGAGACCACGCACCTTCAGATAACTTGCTTCTGAAACGCTCACTGCGTTCACCTCTGAGTCCTTTGAGGTTGCTCTCCGAATAACGGCCGCACCTCTTGCAAATTATGAGAAAGGACTCGACATCGAGGTAATCGCAAATCAACAGTCGGTGCTTCCTGGGCTCTCTAATTAACTGGGACAGCGCTGCAGAATTGCCAGGGCACACTTCTCGCGAACGGGTCTGGCGGGTGCTATCAGTGCGGGCACGAGTGTGGCACGCTAAGCACAGCCAGTGGTTGTTGATCCAGCCCCACTGGTGGCGAACCAAAACCTGAGGGTTACGGCGGGCCGCACGGGCCCGCCGAGGAAGACCCTCAGGGGGCTGAGGGGGTGGGGTCCAGTCTTTGACCGCACCCGCGGCTCCGACAGGGGGGTTGAGGCTCTGGGGGGGCTTCTCGTAGGCCTTCTTTCCCGTCTTTGGGGCGAGGGCCTGCCGCAAGGAGACCTCCGCTGCGTGCTTCAAAAATCTCAGTACTCTACTGCGGGTTTCTGTATAACGCTCAATCTCATCTGGGACGGGCGGGAATCTGGGCAGCAGCTAGTTTGGCAACCCGATCCGCCCAGTCGTTTCCCTTGGCTACAAACCAGTCCCTCGAGCCAGCCTCCAGGGTCGAGAGATCCTGGTGGGCCTTTACTTTGGCTATCTCGAGGGACCTGAGACTGTCCTGGGCCCTGACCAAGACAGACACTCCTGCGTACATTTCTTTCCCGCTAACCTCGGGGCTCTGGTGAACCGAGAGGATGCCTTTAAAGTCGGTCCACGCTTTAGTGACTCTTGGGCAGGAGACGGTGGCCAGAAATCCTAAATGCTCGGCAGCGGGCGACGCGGGGGGAAGACTGGCCCCCACGGGCCCCGAGAGACAGGCAACTAGGTCGCCCTCCTCGTCGATTTTAACCGCGGACCAGGCAGGGGCGTCAAAGACCGTAGGGCCAGGTTTTAAAACTCTGCCGTCGTGGAAAACTTCACCTTGCATGGCAACCTCCTTGGGCTGCCCATCGCGCGACCGATGCACTGCTTGGTCTAGTCCTAATCATGGGGGCCTCAGGGCAATTGGTTCAGGTCGAAGCTGGAACCCCAAGACGTACGGGGAACCTCTCCTCTGATCCCTGAGCTCCTCCACGTCCCCCTCCTTCAACATCTCCTCTCTCAAGTTGCTGGTCTGCGGGCGCTCGAAGAGCCCGTGGCGGAGGGGGTCCTCGGGGCCATGGCGCAACTCGCAACTGACTTCCTCCTCGTAGCATGCCTCGGCTATCTTACTTTTTGTCCAAATACACTGGCATCCGTAGGACAGCAATGTCTTGCGCTTGTGCCCCTGGGTATTGTCATCATGCAGCGCGTGCTGCGTGAGCGACGGTTCCAGCGGCTCTTCGAGACCTAGCTTCGCGCTGGCCTTCAAATCGAGCTGCTGCTGCCACTGGGATTGAACAAGCTTCTTGATTAAGGCTGGGGAGGTCGTGATGAATGGGTAGTCCTGACCGTTGGCATCTTGGAACACAAACGGGTCGGGCATAGTCCATCCAAGACGCCCCAAGCTGAGGATTGTGGCCCCGAGAGGCCCTCTTATCTGGAGCCACTTCGTCGGGGGTTTGCTGAGGACCTCCAGGACCTGAGT